TTAAACAGCGCATTGGCAAGATGAATTTTAAGAATAGCAGTTTACACCGGGATTAATATAAGTGGAATATCTAATAGAAAAAGACGAGAAATAACAAAATTCAGGCCGGTAAATGTTGTTTAATACTGTTTATTATAAACAGAGTATTTATTTAGATATTTGTATCTATAAAAAGAACGTATAAACATAAAAAAATGTCTTAAAATAATTGTCGGACTTTGTCCAGTTCTTAATGTGTGACGTTTTTATTTGTTTGATACGCCATGAGCAGATATGAATGTATGTGAGAGATTCATAGAAGATTGAAGTTCAAATACAGTAAATTCGACCTTGCTAAGCGAACACTCGGTGGCCAAATCGGTAAAGGCATATCAAGCGAAATGACGGTTCCGTATAGGGTACAGGTTCGAATCCTGACGGAGGACGAATATTTTCTGTGAAAATTCCTCGGTAAATGTTGTTTAATACTGTTTATTTAAAAAAGAGCATTTACTTAAATATTTGTATCTATAAAAAGAATGTATAAATATAAAAATGTCTTTTAAAAATTAGTCAAGTCAAAAAGATGATATCTATGAAAACGATAACATTTAAATAAGGAAAACGATAAAAGTAGAGAGGAAATTAAGGAAATTTAAAACAATGTCTTCGGAAAACAGTAAGAAAACAACAATATAAGATATAAACGTCTGGTTTGGTTTACGGCATATCAACACTTCAATCGGTTATTTAATGCCGACAAGCTTTTCATTGCTGGTAATCTTTTTTTTTTCAAAGAAGTATTACTGATAATATTTTTATGTTTTTTTCAAAAAAAATGTTACTGGTATTTTTTGTGCTGGTAATGTTTTGTACTGGTAACACACACACGCGCGCGCACACACATATATATATATATTTATTGGTTAAAATGTATGGGTGGTAATTTTATTTCAACAATGCAGTGCTCGTAATATTTTTTTTTTCAAAATTGTATTGCTGGTAATAAATTTTGTACCAAAATGTATTGCTGGTAATATTTTTTTCAAAAATGTATTGCTAATTTTTTTGGGGAAATATTTTTTTGGGGAAATATTTTTTTGGGGAAATATTTTTTTGCTGGTAATATATTTTGTTTCAAAAATATATTGCTGGTGATATTTCTTGTCAAAAATGTATTGCTGGTAATTATTTTCAAAAATGTATTGCCGTTAATTTTTTTACAAAAATTTATTGCTGGTAATATTTCTTTCCAAAAATATGTTTCTGATAATATTTTTCTTTTTAAAAACATCTACTGCCGGTAATAATGCATTACTGTTAATAATTTTTCCCAAAATTTATTGCTAGTTATTAAACCGGTTTTTACACTATCATAGCGTTTTGAATTCATAGCTGAGACCTTAACAGCAATTACAATGTAGTCCCACGGTTTTCAAAAACTTTGATCAGAGGCCTTGCTGTCGGATGTAGTTTATCGTCATACCCTGGACGAAAAATGTATCGGGACTGGTGTTATAAAACAAAACTACAAAATATATCATTTAATCTCTTTCGAAGTACTCCTATTCAGAAGCTACGCAGTTTATCCAGCGTCATTTCCATTGATGGAAGCATTCATAGATATCCGTTTTTACGGATAGCAAGTATTTTCTTTGGTTTTCTCGAAGTGTTCAAATATTTTTCCTTTCAAGTGGGATCTAATTTTTGAAGAGGAAAATATCGTAAATAGCGAAATCTGGGGAATATGGCGGTTCTCAAACCTGCGGAAAGTTGTCCTTGACCAAAAACTGCTGGAACCTTTATAGTATGGTGAGACGACCATACTCTACACATTTTCATTCCAAGTAATGCTATAAACAATGGAATTACGAGTAATTAGTGTGAATGCATGACAGAGTTTAAGGTCAATATATGATAAGCGGCATCACGCTACGTAATTTAGTTCCATTACCATGATACCAATCACAATACTTTTAGTTTAAACCACCTATAATAATTGGAAAATATTACCTATAACAGAAAAAAAGGAAAACCATTATTAGAATGGTAAACAAAGTTATTAAATTATACTAAATATATTGTCTTAAGTTTAGTCATACTTAAAGCAGGAATATACACTGCTGGGGTAGCCGTGATCTCAATTAAAACGTAAGAGTAACAACAATAAATGTATAACAGCATAAAGAATAAAGGGATCAGAGAAAAGGGCCGGAGATCTACATAATATAAAATCATAAAATATATCGTCTTATTTATTTTATTTTTATAAACATATTTATGTTTACAAAAAAAATAAAATACTGAACAGCAATTCCTCCGTGTATTGAATATTGTTGTCACATCCAGTCTGGTTCTCCTGTTATATATCTAGATATTTTTGTCAAAATCAAACAAAGGTCTGTAATTACTTACACTATTTAAATTGTTCGGACTGTTGCCCTCAGCTTTATGGTCATATTCACGGCGTTTCAGCCGTTGAATGCTCCGGCCTTCCTCAGGTGATATAAGCTGGAATTTCGAAACAAACACTTTAGTCAACCGGATTAGATTCGTTTCGTTCCATATGCCATGTCTTTTTCTGGATGTCTCAATTTCAGTTATTTCACCTTAATAACTCCAGTCTCCAAGCCTTCAAGTTTTTATTCCGATCGGTTGTGACCAGGTATTGAACTCACAACTGTTTGGGTCAGTTGTTTAAGGTCTGTAATGTTATCGGTCCTGACATAGTATCACTAATTTAGTTCGTGGTTTCAGTTTGTCTTTTCTATAAATATTTTCATGGCAATTGTTCGAATGAAGTTTGCTGTTTGGTATCTACACCACACGATTTTTAAGCGCCGTACTAGATTAATAAGAAGGTATCATCCTTTTAATGTTAAAAAAAAGCTAGATGTAAGTTATACGATATTAAAAAAATTATTAATTCCGCATCAATCATTATTTTCTGTCTTCTTTTACCTCATTCCGTTATTGACTTTTCTCCTCGCTAATAGTTTATTTTCATTTTACCATGCCCTCAATAATCCCTTTCGTCTTAGTAGGATCATCGCCTTGCTTTGGGTAAAAGTGATTAAAAAAGAATAATGAAGGAGATTCGAGAAGAGAAAAAGATTTTATGAAGAAGACAACAATTTCGAAAATATCAGGGACATGTAGAGAAAAATAGGAAAACTAAAAGAAATATTTCGATCTAAATCGCCATTGCATTAAGGACTGCGAAGAATCAGACATAAACTATAGAGAAAACAAAAGAATCAAACGAATTATAATTATGAAGAGATAGATCAACAGAAACAGAAGATCATAGACGTTAAAGAAATAAACAAAAAATGGCTATATCCCTGTAGACAAAACCTGAGTGAATAAAATGCTAAATGCTTTTCAATGCATTCAGGAATCATTAGAAGATTTATTTTCTAATACTATCAATTAACTCACACAAGGTATGTATATATATATATATATATATATATATATATATATATATATATATATATATAGCTGGCAAACCGTATTCGAGGATAACCGTCTATAAGGGCGGCAAACCAATCCTTATTACAGACGCTTTCTCATGCGCATTTGTGTTTATTCAACACCCACAGAGCCCACCTGCAACTATGATGAGGAGACATTAGTTACAATTTCTGGGAAAGAGCGTGTTATCTAGGGTGATCAAGAATTTGAACAAGGCCAGCACGCTCAAGCCCTCGGCCACGATGACTTGTGACTTCGTGCTAGCACAGTGTGTAAATTTCTTCTTGGAGGGATTTCTCATGGCTTATCCTCTCTCAGTTGCGTCTCTCTTTGGACAAAGTGCGCTAAGGGTCTTCTCTGTCAAAAGACAGAGGGGCAACTAAGAAAATTATACTGAGAGGTGCCCAGCCCTGGGGAACAGCTAACCGAGGCCGCGCCCACCCATTTCACTGTCGGTTGCGGGGGCTTAGGGAAAGGGTTCCGTCTACACAATTTCACTCACAAGTCTTGGGTCAACCCGTGGTATGGTTTTGAGTAACTTTCCGAATGTGCCGCACACTGGAATCGACTCATCCAGTTCAGTAACATCGGGAAGTCTCTTTCCTTGACAAATCGACCATGATGAGATTCGAATCCGGGTCTCATGGTCAGAACGTGGACCTTCTAACCACTCGTGCCCATGATTACACCGTCAATAGCCAAAAGTTATGACTCCGCCCTACAGAAACGATTAACAAACAATTAATTATTTAGCCGCACCATTAAAAAAAAAATTCTCAAAGTGCAAAAAATGATGCAGGAAAATGCAAATGAAATTGGCGATCTGTTTGGCGATTGCACATACTTTTTTTTAAGCAAATTACATCAAGCATGTCTGGAATATCACAAGAACGCAAGGGGTTACAGAAAGTGAGAGTAAGAGTAAAGAGAAGTGTTTGGGAAAAAGAAAAAAGAAAAAAAAACGTGTATCAAGGTCAAGGCATCAGAAAATGTCGATTGACATTACATTTAAATATTTGAAGATTATAGCTATCAGGGAAGCAAGTGATAGGAAAGGAGTTCTACTGACGGGAAATGTGAGTTAAGAAGCTATTGGAGTAGAGAAGATGGCTACATTCAGTTGTTTCGACAGTGAAAAGGTGGGACCGATTCAACCTAGTAGCGCGCTTAAATTTATGCAGTTTGGGAATAAGTAAAAGCAGCTCGTCAGAGCAGTTGCCATGAAAATACTTGTAGAAAAGACAGAGGGATACCACGGCACGTATGTGAGAAAGTGACAGTAGACGAGACACCAGATCAGAACCAATCACTTTGCATATCTTTCTCTGGATCTTGTCGAGAACCTCGAAATGAACTGCGGGAGCACCAGACCATATATGGCAGCAGTGTTCAAGGCGAGGACGAATTTATCCAGAAAAAAAACAAAACTCCCGCTGTTCTGAATAACCTGATTGTCCATTCTTCTCTCTTAATTATGGTATTTGTTTGCACAAACAGTACACCATTAAACATTGTCGGTTTACATACTGTCCAGATGTGACGTCATGATATTTCGCACAAAGTGAAAGTCGCTTTTGTAAAGATGGCGACGTCATTATTTAGAGGAATGCACTATTAAGGAAGCTTGTGACGAATGATAAAATTGATTTTTCAGACTGTTGCTAAAAACTCTGAGTTTACAGGGAATATATCAATGCTTTGTGATATCAAGGAATATTAGTTGCCGCTTTTGTGAAGTCAACGGATACTAGTTGTCACTTTCGTAATGCTCGTTGTAGTAGAGACTTTGTAATCTCAGTTTTGGCTATAGTAACGCCTTTGAATAATACCGGGTGTCAAACGCCTTCGAATATCAATCGCACTAACAGTATTTGCTCGATAATACTCGCTCGAATAGTAAGCACATTATAGTGATCCGAATAGAGAAATAGTATAGTGAATAGAGTAGAGGATAGACTAGAAATAACGATCAATTACACACACGCTACTTCCCATATATGCGTTTCCTCTATGGTCAAGTGGTCTACTTAATTCAATAATGGGATCGCCTGTGTTTACTCACTGGCGATCTATGTTCAAACTCAAGTGTCGGCAGCGACACTTTATTCATATATATCACAAAGAAAATCATTGGCCCTACATAAGATTAATTGCGTTTTCTTTTGTGATTTTATTTTTATTTTTTTTTTATTTTTTTTTTTTACGAATACACCATTTAAACAAATTTTATTTAATGTAACCGACTTAACACTTTGTTTAAATTTTACTCCCTTTTACATTTCATGTAATAACATGTTGAATATCCAGAAAAAAATATTAAGTTGGTTGGTTGATTTTGTTTAGCGGCAGATCAACCTCTATGGTTTATTTAATGCCGAAATTTAAATATTTTGAAAGCAGTTGTATGCCTTCTACGACAGATAAAATATATTGCTGACCATCCTATTATAATTTTTTTACATGGATATTTATACCTTCATTTTTTTTGTAGGGCTTACTATTTACCGATAGCTGAGACCCTAACTGGAGATACCATCCTGGGTCAGGGGAACTAGGAACAACAGCAATTAAGATGTGGTTTCACTCTCTTGAAAACATCCAATATCTCGATCAGAGGCATTGTTGCCAAATACAGTTTATCCTCATACCCAGGACTTACAATATTAGGTTATCCAAAGTTCATATTTTTAAAATCTGTGCATATTTCTTAGTCGAGTCATTGTCACGAATAGCAATATTTTCATTGTTCAGACACTTGTTTTCATTCTTATTGTCATATTCACGATGTTACGGCCTTCTTCAGCGGTTTTATTCCAACGTGTAACACCTGAAGAATGCCGGAGCGTACAATGGCCGAAACGTTGTGATAACGAAGATGAAGACAACAGTCCGAAGAAATTTATATAGTAGAAACGGTTATTTTTTTTTTGTTTTATGTATTTTTTATGTTCTTTTTTTTTTCTCGAGTATTTTCGACCGGTCCAAAGTGAAAGTTGCTTTTGTAAAGATGGCGACGTCATTATTTATAGATAGATAGATAGATAGATAGATAGATTGATTTACATTATCAAGAACTGAATTTTGTTAGTAGTGTGACGGTTACACACCTGGCCCAGGGTCGGATCCTTTGGTTACGGCGCCAACGGTGACGTCGCTCCTCCTGGTCGCTCCTCCTGAGTCCAAGCGTGCCGCTCCAACCCCTTGGTCAGATGATCACCAGCCTCGCCTTTCCCGACTCGCTTCCAATACCCGGTCACTAAAGCAACTGTACCGATCTCCGGTCTGTCTACCCACGCTGTGTTTAGATCTTAGACAGACGGGACCAGCAGGGATTGGGGCCGATACAAGTTGAGTCCGACGGGGGTGACAAAACACAAATAAAAGAGAAAAAAATAACTCACGAGACAAAAAGATTGCTGATGAAAAAATGGGTAACAACCTTTTATATCTTAATGTCCGTTACATAAAAACAAAATTGTTCTCATTTCCCAACCCGCTCTGTGGACTATGGCACCAAGCTTCTATCACACAACCTAAAGATTTCGAATTGCCTACTCTTTAGAATTGTGTATGTCGGAGTGTGGTTTGGTTCGACACTGGGGCTAATTTCTATCGATCATTCGCAGTTGATTCTTCTCTTCGACTTGAGTTGTATTTCTTCTTCTTCGTCGACTTAGGCTGGAAGTTCTCTTGTCTTCGACTTGGGTTGTATTTCTTCTTCTTCGTCGACTTAGGCTGGAAGTTCTCTTGTCTTCGACTTGGGCTGGAAGGATCTCTTGTCTGAGGATTCTCTTGCCCGCAAAGGGGCGAGTGAATCGGGCCTGATGGCCGCGTTCAGGCTCTATCCCTGCCCGCGGTCCAGCTGCAACTCTCAACTCCAACTCCAACTCATTTCTGTCGACTGGGGTCCTGCTTTTATTGACGCCGCAACAAACTGGGGTGGGTCTGTCGGCGTCAGGGGTTTTCTCGATAATTCCAATAGCCGCATTAATTCTGTTTCCCCATTATCGCTATTGTTTTCACCCCTACTTCCTCATAGTGCTTTTGGTGGGGAGGCGCATATCCATCTCTCTCGGTCTCTCGTATGTCAGGTGACCGCTTTCGACTAATGAGATTCTGATCGAGCATTTCTTTCTTTTCTTTTCCGCAGCCACGTGACCGTTTTCGGCTAATGGGATTCTGGTTGAGCATTTCTTTCTTTTTCTTTTCTGCAGCCACGTGACCGTTTTCGGCTAATGAGATCCTGATTGGGCGTTTCCTGCAATCAATCGGGGCGGGCTTATATCGTTCTTGTTCTAAAAAAACAAAATCTAATTTTTCCTTTTTTTTTTCGCACGTACGAAAAATGACCATCTTGGCCTTCTCTCACCTGGACTTTGTCAAACAGCCCGCCGCTAATTAGACTTGACTTCAGAAAGGATCTTTTCCGCCTTCTTGGCGCCCTCTGTGAGCCAAAAGCAATTGTCCTCTTTTTACCTCTTTGTTTTTCCTGATAGTCAAAAATCTTAATTATCTACATTGAAAATGTCTCCACTTTTATTATTGTGGGGTTCTAATTTTAACAGGTCAGAGCCTGTATACCGTTCCACCGGTCCTCCCCTCAACCCAAAAGACACTTTTTTCTCTCTGATTAAGATTGTTTCATTGTTCCCAAAATTTCTCTTTATCCAAATTGATAAGGTGTCTTTCCATGCAAAAAGTAGGCTAGGTGCTTTGACCGATATCTGGCTTCCATCAAGCGGCCCGTTTTGATATCATGTCTTTTTCCCTTTCTTTCTTCTTATTATTTCTAATTCTATTCTTCCAATTGTCTTTAAAAAATTCGGTCAACATGCTAGCTAAGATATCTTTCTGACTCGTGTTTTTGTTAATGACCGTTTTTTTTGTATTTCTCGACCTCTCTCTTTCCCCTTCCTTCTTCTTCCCTTAGGATCGTCCAGGTACAATCTTAGTGAATTATTTTCAACTCAATTATTTTCCGTTTTAAAAAAAATCAACAACCTGTTTAGTAAACCGAGTAAGAAAAAATTAAATCATATTTCTATGAATATTTCTAATAATGCAAGGTGCCACAGTAGGAAAGACAGAGAATAGTTTACAACAATCTGGCATATTACGAAAGTTATATTTCGAAATAAATATATGCGTAAATGACGTCAAAAATATGTCAATTATGGCATCTCTACAACTATTGTTAAATGTCTATACTTGGTAACAGAAGCCATTGGTTTATACCAACGGCTTCCCATACTTCATACTTCTCCAATTCACTCTCGTGTGGTCATGTCTGAGGTTATGAGATGCGGTGCGATTTTCGCTTCTAGCGTCTTATATGCACGTGTTTATCGTTGCTTAGACATCATCTATGTAAACAATGACAAACTATCATAATTGTCGTGTCCGTATATTGCTTAATATGTTGTAATTGACATCTTTGGTAATGGCTTATGTAAGCCGAAATCTTAGATTGGATTAAAAAAAAATATGGATCAGTATTGTGAATTTCTTTCTTCGTTCAACGATTATGTTATTAAACATATCAGACGTTACGAAAAAATTTACATAAAATAAACAGACAACACTTGTCTATATTATTTAATGAAACGTGTATGAATGAAAAGATGCTGCCTAAATAAATAATATATATATATATATATATATATATATATATATATATATACAAGACTATAATGTATTGGCAAAAGGGACAGAAAGCCTACCAGGTCGCAAAAAGAATAACTTAATAATAAGGGAAATGAAGTATAAACTAGGAAACAACTCCCAAAATATAGACATCAACCTAAACAGCGATATACAGCGTTCTATATTTTAGTTAACAATACGGAACAATTACGCTTCCCATCATCACAAGGCACATACTTCAGACCTCAAGTTTAGGCGACCAGAATATATATATATATATATATATATATATATATATATATATAGATAGATAGATAGATAGATAGATAGATAAATAGATAGATAGATCTCAGGGACATTCCGTTTAGGTGAAACCTAGGTAGGTTTGTCGGGCTCACTAGGTTTATCTAGGTCTGCTCTACGGTTGTATTGAGCTCTTTTGTTAGTTAGTTGTTTACTCGTATCGGGGTTTTTTCTTTGGGCTTCAGACCTGCATCTGTGCGATTTTTTTTGTCGGCAGAAGTTCATGTTTGTAGCTCTTTCTTTTTTTTTTTAAACCTTTTTTCCCTCGAGATTGATTTGATTAGCAAATCAAAATTCGAGGGTTTTTTCGAAACGACTCTAGTTATATATATATATATATATATATATATATATATATATATATATATATATATATATCTTCTCATATCTATCTAATATCTATCTATTATCTGTCTTCGAAAAATTCAGTGAAACTTTTATCTATCTATCTATCTATCTATCTATCTATCTATCTATCTATCTCTTTCTGCTCATGTCTATCTATCTATCTATCTATCTATCTATCTATCTATCTCTGCTCATATCTATCTATACATTCTCCTCATATCTATGTATCTATCTATCTATCTATCTATCTATCTCTTTCTGCTCATATCTATCTATCTATCTATCTATCTATCTATCTTTTTCTGCTCATATCTATCTATCTATCTATCTATCTATCTATACATTCTCCTCATATCTATCTATCTATCTATCTCTTTCTGCTCATGTCTATCTATCTATCTATCTATCTATCTATCTATCTACCTCTGCTCATATGTATCTATCTATCTATCTATACATTCTCCTCATATCTATCTATCTATCTATCTATGTCTTTCTGCTCATATCTATCTATCTATCTATCTATCTATCTATCTCTTTCTGCTCATATCTATCTATCTATCTATCTATCTATCTATCTATCTTACTCGGCTCATATTACAATGGTAAATGATTTACAATTGAGAAAGAAAGGTAATTCCAGTTAATCAGGAAATATAACTTAGATAATAAATATTATTATTACTCGCTGGATTAAAACATTCAAGTCAAAAATTGAGCAGACCAACCCATTCTTCACCCTTTTCATGATACATTATGAAATTAATAATTGTCAGCGGATCTATTTTTCTTTTCGGACTTCTTGCATTAAAAGTATAATGGTCATATAATGTGTATAGCTTTGACAGGACAGATCGTATTTCCATGTCGTTTCACCTCTGATACAAACTTTGGGGCGCCTTTACGTCTTGTTTGAAGTTCACGTTTGAAATCTAACAACGGTTATCATTTCCCTTCAGAGTCTCTTAACGGAAGTTAAACAGATCCGTTACTACGTTAGTCATCGAAAACACTTTGAATCTCAAGAAATATTAACAGATATAATTGTGATCTACAAACAGTGTATCCATTAATAATTGTTTAAAGCCACACATCAATTGAATATGACACACCAGCATTGCAGCGAGTCGATAAGAACTAGAAAAGTGATTTCATAGTATTATACTTTAGAACATTACCCATGAGTGAATATGACAATAGAGAGACCAAGTAATCTCTTAGTCGGACACGGATTCGTGCGAGATTTTGACACAGGCCTCTCTTTCGAGTTTGGTAATTTGATTGAAGCTGAAGTTCGAAGGTCTGCGAATTTTGGTTGGTCTCTAATTTCGATGAATAAATTGTCGTTAGTTTGTAATTTCGATTAATTTCTTGAATTGATTTAAAAGATTTTACATATAAAATTGCATTAACGTCTTTTCTGAATTCTTCCATGGGATTCAGTAGTTATTCAATGAATTATTCTATGAATCAACGAGAATTTTTGCCAGTTTGTTTTTGTTTCCGACTCACCATTTCACGCTTAACCTTTTTGCACCATTTTTGATTTTTCTGAAAATCTACAACAACAACAACAACAACAAAATAATAATAATAATAATAATAATAATAATAATAATAATAATAATAACACCAATAATATTAATAATAAATGGAATTTCACCAATCAATATAATGTTTAAGCAGAAACTGCAATTAAAGCCATAGAGAACAAGATTATATGAAAAGCGTTGTAGGTTCTATCGACAAAAGAAGATATTCCAAACGGACCTCAGGAAGAGTTACAGGGGAATTTGGAAAAGCCGTTATAGAAGTCTTTAAAAAGCTTCTATTGAAGAAGTGCAAACATTTTGGGAGAATATTTGGGACAGCTCAAAAGAATATAAATCCCAATGCTGAATGGATGAAACGAGAAGAAAAAAGTATGAAGCATAAACATGTACAAGAGTGGAAAATTATAACCAATAATAATGTTAAATGATCTTCTAGCATTTTTTTCTTAGACGGACTAGCCTTAAAGAAAGATAAGTTGATGGGAAATTTATCTTCGGCATATCTTTCTAAGACATCTTTGCTGGCAGTTCACTTTCCTTGAAGAAAAAATTGGATTACTGGATGATGTATTTTACGTATATTTTAATGCATTTATAGCATAACTTGGATGTGAGTTGTGATGTAATGAATAACGGCCCGCAATGAGAAATCAGAGTTCGAATTCCATTGGGTTTCGTTACATTCACATATGCGTTAACACCGTTGGGTATCATATGAATTCATCGCATCAAGTCGTCGCTATGGTTTGAAAAGCAGGACAGGCCGAGTGTTGATAGTCTTGCGTGATAACAAGTCTCGCGCAGAAAGAAAAGGTAACGTACTGCTGGAAAATCTTCTGTCTAGTCAGTCAAGAATCGAAAAGCAATGGTCACCCAAGCATGCATCCCGTATGGCAAACTGACAGATTGTATATCTTATTTTTCACCAAAACCTTCAAACATCGGCCTTATTTAAGCGATACACTAAATATATCGTTCAGTACCATTGGTTTTCAGTTGCCTGATCTTTGAACATGCCTCTTAGGGTTTGACTCAATGTTCAGCTTAGTTCATGAACGGGCTTATTTGGCATGCATCAAAGTCGAGTGCTGAGATGTTTACTTGTTTTTACATTTTTATGGGCGAGGCTGACAAGTCGACTCGAGAGTCATATTGAGATGCTTGGGAACACCTTTAATCCGATCACTTCTGAGCAGACAGTGTTATCAAACCTGAAGCCAGATGATAGAGAAACTAGGTTACGGCTGTGAGAACATATATATATATATATAACATACTTTTCACTGGAATTTGTCGAGGGTCTCGAGATATATAGGCGGAGCACCAGACTGGATACGGCAGAAATACTCAATCCATGGAAGAATGATTGATTTATGAATGTCACTGTTCAGTTGGGTTACTTCCTGAGTTTAAATTTTTGCACCCACTGACAACGTTTCAGGCCCGATTCTGCGCTTGGTCGTTGTGAGGTTATCCTTTCATTCAACCCTGTAATCTGCTTGTTATTTTGATATACGAGATATTATTGGATACAAAATATATTTTAGCTTCTCTTATTGAAAACCCAATATATTTTGTGATCACCATTTATCAATTACTAGCAGCAGAGCACGGCGTTACCCGGGGATGTAACAGTAAGAGATAGATCAAGTATCAATTGACAGATTGAAACTGCTAAGTTTTATGTGAAGAATATCTTAACATAAAAGTAACTTCGAGTTATAAAAAAAAAAAAAAAAAAAAAAAATACATTTTGAGGAGACAGGATCACCCGCAACCTGAAGGGAGACTGCACATAAAATGCAAAGTAAAATGCATTAATTTTCTGTTATTTTTTATTATTTTTTTTAATTCTATTACAGTGTAACCCGGATATAAGAGAGTTGTCGGGAGCGGAGATTAAGTCTCTTATATCCGGGTTTCTCTTATATCCGGGTTTGGTCTTTTATATACATTAACACAGGCTCTAATTTGGGACCAGAGAAAATCTCTCTTATATCCAGGTTTCTCTTATATCCGGGTCTCTTATATCCGGGTTACACTGTACTTACTTATTTAACAAAAGAAACATTGTAAAGGGGTGGGTTATTATGAGTAAAAAAAAAGTTTTCGACATTAATTAAAACGTTTTAAAGAGTAATTGTATCCTCTTTATTTTTCTCTTCCTACCAAGGTAGAAAAAAATTCGACTCAGAATGGAAGAGATGGAATTTTACAAACATTTACAAAGTTAAATGGTAATAACTTCCATAATTGTTAAGGCGCAATAATATTCGTCTTTCAAGATATTTCTAAAGAAAATCTTGAAAGGCTTGTTTGACTGCACGAAAGAGTTTATAAAATTTTCAGCAAAAAAAAAAAAATAAAATAATAAATAAATAAATAAAAAGACGGAAAACAGCGATGAAAGATTTACTTTAGTGTAATTTCAATCAGCAGTATTGTAAAAATGGTAGGCAAACGCATAGATACATTAAAACCACCGGATCCAATAAAGAAATATTTGCAGGAACATAAATATTTCTCATTCAAAGAAATAAGGAAGGAAACAGATTTTCGATATTTATTTTTCTTAAAATTTGCTTTTATTTCTCTTATTAATAATGGGTTACCACGAACTGTTCAAGTACGTGTATTTCTGTTGTTTGTTTTTTTTTCTATTTTCATTCATCTATCAGACGCATTATGTAACCTTAGGCAGAACAGAACAACAGTACAATAATACTTGGGAGAAACGAGAGCATTTGCAAACGTAATGCTTTCTGTATGCTTTATTTGAATTGCTTTGTCTTAAAGCTTTTAGTCAGTTCTTTGTTTTTAATGAATGCATTTAATGATTTTGCAAGAGATATAGTGAAAGGCTGAGATCATTTGAATACAGAAAGTAAAATATTAATAAAGAGACCGGACTCAAGAAAGAAATAAAGAAACGTCAAGAAGAAAACCTTTTTTCTATGATTTGGATTCAATGGCGAAAATTCATGGAGCAGGTGAAAGGGCTGGATGCTCAATGTTTAAGGCCATGAAATGATTGCTCGTCAAAAACGAAATAACAAAAAGATATATATATATATATATATATATTCATGTGGATATGTGCCTGAGAACCATACGACGGGTTGACCCAAGCCTTGTCAGTAAAACTGAGTGGAGAGAACAGTTGGGACCGTCGATAGCTGTGCTAGCACGAAGTAACTAGTCATTCTGACTGAGGGTTTCAGTGTGCGGGTGTTGTTCAGATAGTGGAACATTCGAAATAGTCTTTTAAAAGGGCTCTGATGAAATAAATTATTACAATGGAACCTTAAAGTGGTCTGTTTTTCTTTAATATATATATATATATATATATATATATATATATATATATATACACCCGGCCAAATGATTGCGTCTAGCATGAAACAGCTTGTCGATTCTGAGTTTTGACTTAGAATCTTCACTTCCATATATATATAGAAATTTCGCTTGAAGATGGAACGGAGCCCATTTTAATTTCAACTCAATTTAATTTAAAGGATTATATTGAAGTTTTCGGCTCTTGTTTTGAAACATGAGACCTCTTATGTAACGATTTGGAATCATATTTTTAAATAAATAATTATATTTATGCTCTACTTTTGTATCGAGCACTATTTTTTAAAAATAATAACTAAAAATACTAAGGGACTTTAGATTTTTTCCTAACCAGTTCCTTCCTATTTTCTATATATTTTCACATATATATATATATATATATTTTCACACACACACATATATATATATATATATATATATATATATACTGTTTAAAGGTCTGAAGCTACCGCCTGGTAATTATTTTAAATTGGCCAAAAACAAATTGCTTTGTACATTAAATAAGAGAAAATTATTATACATGGTGAGGCATAATTATATTTTTTATGACAAAATGAAAAAAAAATATGATCAAGTTTGTTTTCGTCAAAATATCCTCTATTAGCCTTGATTATGGCAAGATAAATTTCTTGGCATTTGTTGCAAAAGTTTCTCAAACTCTAAGTTTGATAATTGACTACATTCCTTTTTCAGTGACAATTTTTTT